AAGAACCTCCATATGGAGATGGCTTCAAATGTGGCAAAAAGAAAATACCCTCATTTCATAACAGATAAAATTCTGCCAAAAATAGGCAAGCTTAAATGCAGGACAAGTCGACTGCTGAACTGTGCCAAGAGAGGGTAAGCAAGTCTCAAATAGTTCCTGTTTCATATATACGTCTGTCAAATATTCTGAGTCATAAGTCTGAAGATGATGCTCCAACATTATAGAGAATTACAGGTGACTGTAATTGTTCAGGCAGCAAACTGTCTCTGTCAATTTTTTTTTTTTTTTTTTTGGAAACTGCTAACTTGCACTTCCTATTTTCTCCAGTAACTAATTTTATTCTTTCTCAAGTCTCTGGTGGGGTTGAAGACCAAATAGTTATAGTTCCACAATTAAGCTTAACTTGTTTAGAATTTAAGAAAATGCTTTCATATATGTAATACCAATAAGGATAAAAGTTAATTTAGGTACAGCACTCTAAACTTGTCAAGATAGGATAGATAATCAAATATTTTCTCCTAAGTTACCAAATACACATGAACTGGACATTGCATATGTAAATCTTAGCTAATAGTTGTCATAACTTTTATAATTATTATTGTATTGAAAGAAAAGGAGCCTTTTATTGGACTTAAAGGGGGAAATGTTGGTATAATGTTCTTGTGGGATGTATACAATTTACCCTTGTTCATTCAAATGCTGATTTCTCTACTCCACTATCTGGTTTCAATCCAGACATTGCATTGTGATGTTTATTCTTAGCATCACCTGCCTCAAGTTTGTGTAAACACGCCACCCTCTGTAATTGTCAATTAAAACAATCAGCCAGTGCTGGGCAACGGAGGGGAGGAGACAGAAGCGAGTGGGAGGAGTCAGGGAGGAGAGATTGGCAGGAGAGGAGTTGGAACCACAAGGAGAGAGGAACCGGACCTGAGATACGACTAAAAGCAAGTGTAATGTTGGAAATTCTGAATGGGAGGAAACTATGCCTGCTTGGAGGGTTAGGATGGAATAACTATTGCCCAGCATTATGCTCTAGCTTAATTAAATAAATCCTAGTCTCTGTGTGGTGATTTGGGTGTACAGCTGGTTTAGTAAGAACCACTGCTTAACTGAAAGATACATTGATAATGAATATTAGTAACCCACAACACTTTATTTTTATTTTAATTCATCATTATTATTGTTAATGTTGTTGTCATTGTTATTGTTATGTATGTACATCTTGCACACATGGAGGTCAGAGAAAAATTTTAGGGAATTATTTACCTCCCTTCGCAAAGGTCATAGTGTCAAGTTCAGAATGTCACTCTTGGCAGCAAGTGTCTTTACTAACTGAGTCATCTTGCTAGCCCAGTTTTGTTCTTCTTTATGCGTGAATGAAAACCCTATTGTATACGTATATACAGGCATATATACATAACATACATATGAACATACATCAGATTTTCTTTATTCATCTATGGATGGACACCTTGGCCAGTTCCATAGCTTTGCTATTGTGAATGCTGCATCAGTGAATATGGGGGTATTCAGACATCCCTATTTTTTTTTTTTTCTGATTTTGGTTACTTAAGGTATATAACCAAGAGTGCTATAGCAAGCACCCTAAGAAGTCATTCTACTTTTAAGTAATTTTGAAAAATCTTTATGCTCATTTCCACGGAAGTTGGACTAATTTTCATTCCTGCCAATGGTGTACAGTGCTTCCCCACATCCTACTATTGCTGCCAGCACTTGGTGTTTCCTTTCTTGATAATAGCTATCTTGGCTAGGCTGAGGTGGGATCTCAAAGGTTTGATGGTCATTTCTTCAATGATTGCACATAGTGAATACTTTTTTGGTGTATTATTGGCCAATTGTACTACTGAGAACTGTTTGTTCAGTTTACTTGCCCAAAGCATGTTACATGCAGGTGTGAGATGGTCATGAAATCAATTATTTTGCATAATCAATATGCATTAATAAATAGTTTAACAAGGCCATTACTAATACCACTAATATTTTCCATAGAAATGAAAGAAAACAACCTAAAATTTATAAAGACACCTACAAGAGCCAAAGCTATTTTGAGCCGGAAAAACATAGCTGGTGGCATTACATGTTCTGATTTAAACTATATCACAAAGCTGTAGTAACCAGAGCATCATGGTGTCAGCTCAAGGGCTGAGGTACTTGATGTTTGTCTCAGAACTGAGAGTTCAGGGTAAACTAAACATCTATGTGACTGGTGCTAAGAACACATTAGCAGAGGGTGGGCTCAGGTAAACAGTGATGGGGAAAGTCGCACCCACTTGCAAAGGAAGGAAATTAGATTCCTATCTTACAGTATTCTCAAATATTAACTCATGCCAGGCCTGATGGAGTAGGTTTATAATCCCAGTGACTTGAGGGATTGAGGCAGGAGGATCATGAGTTTAAGGCCTATCTGGAAAGGAGCTCAGTAGCAGAATGCTTGCTCAGCATTTGCAAGGCTCTTGGTTTAGTTCCCAGTACCACACAACGAAGCCAACTCAAAATGGATGGGAGGATGACACATGAAGCCAGAACCACAAAACAAGAAGAAACAAGGGCTGAGTCTCCCCAACACTGGTCCTGGGGACTTTATGAATATGACTCCCAAAACATAGGTAACAAAATGAAGACAGACAGATGTTGCTACATCAGACTAGCAAGGAACAAAGGAGGCCTGTACAAGCCGTTGGCAAGGTGGTTGACCTAACTGAAGAGGGCAAAGAACCAATGTAAACATAACTTTTAGCTACTTGATTCAATTGTCAGTCTTGGAGGCTTCTGAATAAGCTCACCATTTCTAGTTCTTTCTAAACGCTTTGCTGGCTGTTTCAATTCAGCTGTTCTGGCTCAAAACCCATCCCCAAGGTGAATGACTCAAATTGGCTTCTCTCAACTTCTGAATTTCTCTGCTTCTGAACTCCATGAACTGCACTGCCCTGAACTGCACAAAGTCAACTGAACTCAACTGCACTGCACTGAACTGTGTATATTGTGCTGTACTGAACTCAAGTCTACTGCACTGTCTTCTCTACTGAACTCTTTTCTGTATTGTCTTTTCTTTCCTGCCTCTTATGAGAGTTGGGTGTATTCTCTCTCTGATGCATTCCGTCAGATCTTTCTCTGATTCGTCACTGTGACTGCTCCTCAAATGTGGGTGCTTCCTTCTACAAACTGACTTTACCTTCATTGTTTGGGATTAAAGGTATGTACTAAGGGTGTGTCTGTCTTTCAGCCAGAAGGATTAAAAGTGTTTCATTCCAGCCAAATCACACAGACCTAGAAGGAATTTGGATGTGATCCCTTGCCAGAGCAGTCATGTTGCTGGATTAGACCCAATAGATCCGTATCTTTTTAAAAGAAGAAATGGCCAACTGCCTATGAGAAAGACACAACGGAACTTATTATCCTAGAAACTCACAGGAAGATCTCAGTGAGAAGGTCAAATGATAGAAGTGATAAGGAAGTGGGGAAAAGAGACACTTGTCCCTTTAGGAGGGACTGGAAGCTGGTGTAGCTGTTATAGGAGACAACACAGGCATTCATCCAAAACTAAAAAGACAGTATCTCACAATCCCACTATGTCTTGAAGGAATTAGACTCAATAACCTGTAGAGAAATCCCTACAAGCCTCATGTACAAGAGATGTAAACATCTTCAGTGTATAGATAAAAAGGAAAAGTGATGTAGAAGTGTGTTAAATTGTATTTTTTTACTTATAAAAAGAAAATTCTTCCATTTAGTATAAGAGAGACACACCAGACACAGAAAATCAATGGCTGCATGGTTTCATTTGTACTGGAACCTAGCACAGTGGAATTCACAGAAGCATAGTGACAAGCAGGCTGCCAGGGGTTAGGGATTGGTGGAAGGGACAGGATTTTGCTCTAAGAATAAATTTCAGCCTGGAGGAAGTTATAGATTGTTGATATGCAATCAGGTTAAATTTATCTCAAATATATATTTTTGAATACTACAATAAATTCAGTTGTTTTTTTTTTTCTTTTTGGATAGTTTAATAGTAGCAGAACTGCTTTGTGCATATTGATTTTTTTTTTCTAGACAGGGTTTCTCAGTGTAACAGTCCTGGATGTCCTGGAACTGGCTTTGTAGACCAGGCTGGCTTTGAACTCAAAAAGAACTGCCTACCTCTGCCTCCCCAGTGCTGGGATTAAAGGCACGAACCACCACATCTACCTGCATATTGATTCCCTATCATTCAACTTTCTGGTTTTTCTTATTAGTTCTAGCAGTTATTTTATGGAGCTTTTGGACTTATTATATGTGTATTTGTATATATGTATAAATGATGTATGTGTAAATACATCATTTCTTCAAATAGACACATTGTGTCATCTCTTCCAATATAGAAGCGTCCTTAAAAAGATTTTGAGTCAAGGGCTTTCTGTGTAGTCCAGGCTATCCTTGAATTCATGATCCTTTCCATTCAGCCTTCTGAGTTCTGGAAATACAGGTGTGGGCCATCATACTCAGTTTTGAATGTGTCTTTCATTTACTTTTTGCCTAACTGCTTTGGGTAAGACCTTTAGTGCCATGTCTAACAGAAGAGAGGGTGGCCATTCTGTCATGTTCCTTATCTTTGAGGAAAGGTCTTCAACTTTTCCTCATGTTAGCTACCGGCTTGTCACTCTGTTACACAAAGTGGTAGCTATACAAAGTCATGGTCAGGTTAATTGTGGTGTCATGTCAACATGTTCATGCATTAGCTAAATATCTTATTGAGCATCATGTGAACCTTAATTCTGTAGTTTTTATTTGTCAACTATACCTCAATAATGCTGAAAAAATAAAAACCGCTCCTAATTTTATAGCCTATGTAAATTCTACTTGCAACATGGAATGAATTTAAATTTATTTATTAGCCACGTTGCCTGTGAAATGACCGTCCTGGACAAGTCTTGGGAGAGAACATAGTGTGCATACATTTTCTTGGCCCTCAAAATGGATTTCTTCTCTCCTGCCTGTAGGTCTCTGTGACTCACGTGGTCATCTTTCATGAAGGAACACAGAATCCTACCCAGATGCCCAATATCCAGGGTAGCTGACTGAGGCCTGCCCTTCTCACAGCCTTCAGAGTGATTGGCACCGTGTGGGCCAAGAACAGGTATGCCTTATGCACACCTCATGGCAAGGATTGTGCTACACTAGCAACCCTTCACACAGTGCCTTAAATGGGGTGACAAAGAATAGGCAATGACCCTTGATCTGGTACTCTGCTTGCTGCCCTCTGCTGGGCAGAAGTCCCTCATTTGTGTTCACAGCGCTCTCCCAATGGACCTCTCCGCCTGCACCACCTGGGTCCGCACTGACCGTTCTGAGGTAGTGCTTACCTGTGCTCCAATAGAAGCCCCACATGAGCATACCTAAACACCAAGTTAACAATGGCTCAGAAATGCCCAGCACTGGTTTATGCCTTCAGAGGGGCAGTTCACTTAGGTCTGGAATATTCCAGTTACAGGAGCGGTGTGTGGGCATGACATTCATCTATGGATCCCCTCCTGGTTAAGAATTATACTATCCCAGGAATTATACTATCCTGAGGAAAAGTAAGAAGGCGACCAGCAGCTCTGGAAACTTTCATGGCTTACACAAGACCTGCCCAATATTCCTCCCAGGGTAACCACAGCAGGGCCGGGCCTTCCCACCTCAGTGGCAGTTAGTGGAGGCTGGCTCACCTGCACTGTGCAACTTGAGGAAGCTTTGCAGCCTCCGGGGGCCTCCACCATCTGCCAAGAGAGGATGAGAGTTTCTTCTTGCTGTAGTGTTTGTGACGGGCTTTCTAGGACTTGGCTGTTATGCACCATATAATACTATGTGCAAGAGTGTGTTAACTTCAGAAGCTAGGATTTGGGATCCAGTGCTCTCAAGTGTACCAACGTGTCCATCCTTTGATCAGAATCAAGCCCACAAATATTCTGGGTGTGGAACTGGCTCCTCACAGTGTTGCCCGAAATCTGACAATATTTTGGGAATATGTCTGGAATGTGACTCGGTGCCCGCTAGCTAGTCCTGCTGCCTTAGCACGTGCACTGGGCACCATGGGGGGGGGGTTAACAGTACATAGAGGGCCCCAGGGAAGAGCTTTCTTTGCAGTCTGTCATTGATTTGGCTTTCATCTTGGCTGTTCCTGTTCCTGAGTTGCTGGTCCAAAGCTACATGTGGGTTGAAGGGCTGGATGGCAGCTCCAGCCAGAGGCCATGAGGCATCCCTCCTGCTGTGTGCGATCAGGGACGGTAGTATGTGTGATCATGGAGGGCAGGCTGGGGCAAATGATGGGGAGAAGTTGCCTCCCAAATGCACTGTGACTTCTGGCATTAGTGAGTCTAAATCTGTGCTAATGTGTGCATGTGTGAGCATGCATGTATGAGTGTGTCCATGAATATGCATTCATGTAAATATACACGTGTGTGTGAGTCGACACAAGTGCACTGTCTGAGTATGCAATCATGTGCATGCATGCGTGACTATAAGCATGTATGAGTGTAGGCTGTTAGTGGACACTCACATACCTACAACATACATGTGACTATATGCCTATCTATCTATCTATCTATCTATCTATCTATCTATCTATCTAGTATTTTATTATCTATTTATGCACCCACTTATCTCATCTGTCTGTCCACCTATCAGTCATCTCCATGTCCATATTGGCCCTATCTGCATTCTGAGTTTCTTCTAGTTACAAACAGCAGGATCCCCTGCCCTCTTGCCCTCACTGTTTGAAGTTTTGCCTTGCTGGTGACATCTTTGCTGTAGGTCCCCTCTTCGGTCCCTGCCAATGCTTCCTCGGGGGTAATCTGGTGCTGCTCACAGGGTTACCAATGGCTCTGATGAGTACCCCACAAATCACTGACAGGTGAGCAACATGGGTTGAGCTTTGCTCAAGACAGTAGTAGGGCCGCAGGTGGCTCCTGGAGCCTCTGTGCATCAGGAAAGTGTCTGGCTCTAGGAAGCACTGCTGCTTTGAAGTTTCTATTTTTAGACAGCCCACTGCAGTAAGGTCTCAAATGGCCAGCTCTTGCAGAGGGCGGCTGAGGGTCCCAGCTCCTGAGATCCTCAGACCCAGGGCACTGCTGTGTGTGTGGCAAGGACACACAGACACACTGTGGATTCAGGGGTGCCCACTCCAAATGAATGAAAAGAATCCAGAAAGAGGAGAGCATGCTTGGAATGACCTCATCCCACTGCAGGGAGAAAGCTGACGTCTGCTCTTATTTGCAGTCATTTTTCCTCTTTCCTGCAGAACAACCCCTGCTGCTGGGAGAGCACTTGGCAGCCGGCCTCACCGTGGGCTTGCCAAGGCGTTCCGTCACTGAGCATTGCTCAGAGCCCACTGAGGGCCAGCCAGGGAGGGGGTCTCCCAAGTGTGAGTCTAGTGGACACCAGGCCATCTCTTGGAGTACCTGGCCCAGCTGTGACTCTGAATGAGGAGGCAGTGTCAAGTCAGGTCATCAGGGCTGTTTTCCCATGTGCCTTGGAGAAGCAGCAATGAGTTGGCTCTTGGCCAGCCTAGGAAAGGAGTCCTAGGAAAGGAGTCCGAGGAATCGCCACCTGGCTGGGCTCTCTACATGAACCTGAATCATGGTCGTGCCCATTAAGCCAATACACCTCAGTACAGAACTCAGGTGTAGGTGGAGCAGAGGTGGGAGGAGAGGCCCGAGGCCAGCCCAGGTGCAGTATGCCAAAGCTGTAGAGTTCAGGTGCAGGACAGAGGGCTGGCTCTCCTCACTAGCAGAGGCAGACAGGAGCCACCTTAAGTGAGGGCCTTGCCTCGAGTCCCAGAAGCTTTCTGAGGCCATGAGGAGAGTTGCCTGTTCTCTGGGGGAATCACTTTACATTCCCATGCTGGTCAGCCTCTACCCCGTCCGTCTTCATGCCTTTGCAGTTCCTTAGCCGTGCCATTCAGCCACTCTTGTGTGTGGCTTTAGCACAAGACAAGAGTGAAAGAGGCCTCGACTACCTGCCTTCCCAGACTTCATCATCACCACAAAAGACGTCCTTGATGGTCATCTCTCTCCCAGGTACTGAGGGTGCTGCTCTTCTCAGCCCAGGAGAAAGGCGCTCCCTACATTTTCCTCCCTGCTTCACTCCAAAGTAGGTGTACCTGGAGTCACTGCATCCTAGTTTACCTGCTTAAGTTTGTGGGTTTTTAAGGAAAGCTGATTGTCAGTTATCCTACCTATTTATTGAGTGTTAGGCCAGGTTATAGTTAAGATGTGGGGCTGATCGGTAAGGGACATGATTCCCACATGCTTGTAACTATACATTTCATCTTCATCCATAATCTCTTAAAAAAAAAAAAAGAACTGATACTCTAAGATGGAAAAGGCATATAGAACATTCTTATCTGGGACCTGTCGTAAGGCTGAGGAAACACGCTCCACCCTGCCGCTGCTGCTCAATTTCAGCAGTATTGATTTTATTACTCATACTTTATAAATGAGATGCTATTCTTAAAGAATGCAAACATTTGCTTTGTTGTGCTGTTGTCTCGGCCCAGCACAGGACTTTCCTTGATCCATGCCCATTGATTATTGTCGTTGTTTCACGCAGGCAGCGCTTTGACGATCATTGACTGCTGGGCTACAGGCTTTCTGTTTGCAGTTAGAAAATTCAGTGCGAATCTGAACTTGAGAATGACTTGTGGTGATAACCTGCAAAGGGTGCTTCATGTCTTTGGCAACCTGGGGCTCTCCAGCAGATGGCTATGGCTTGCTGGAGCCTTTGCCTGCTCTGAGACCATCTCTGACCCTGAGGCCTTTGCTGTTGCTGTATCTGATGGAGGGTTCTGGACCTCCATCCAGAGTGCCAGTGAGCCACAGGGATGTAGGGACATGGTGCTTACCAGTTCGTATGTTTGGGATGCACTGTGCTGTGATTGTCACCCTGCCCCTCAGGACCTTCCACATCTTTGCCCTTGGAAAATACGGGAGAATTCAGAGGGAAATGGCTTGTTACGACAACAATCTGCTAGTTTCTTGCCTGGACAGCAGCTTCCTCAGCCGCACAGTGGGTCTCCAGCCTTGCTTTGAAGGTCACCCTAACGCTCAGGTGGGATCACCCAGGAGACTGTAGCCTTGGCAGTGGAGCCTGTGCTGTCTGCTCACATCTGTACTTTCTCCTTTCTCCCACTGCTGTGCCTAGGGCTTCCCCAGACCACTCAACAGGGAGTTTCCTACAGTGTTCATCAACACCCAGCAGGCCTGTGGGGCCTAGGGCCTCACATCCAAAGTTCACCTGTCATCCTGTAGTTTAATCTCTGACCACATTTGTCACCTGTGGACGGCAGTTCTACTGGTGATACCCCCACTTCTCCCATCAGATTTATGTTTTCTGGAGCCAAGATGGTCATCCCTGTCCACAGCATTGTCCATCTCACATCTCGCTTGTGCCATTTCACGTCCATGCCAGTTTTTGTCATTATTAGGGAGCAGCTTGGCCCTCTGAGCTGATACCCTCAGAGGTGTGTCTGTCTGCTTCCCTCTCTAAGCAGGTCTTCTGGGCTGCAAGTTCCATATTCCTCCAACTCATTTTCCTTCCTTCTGTGTTGACTGGACTCAAGGTGAAAACCCTGAGCCTGGGCATGACCTCACCTATATCTTTGCCGTCTCCTCTTCTAATTGTAGCTGGAGTCAGCTACTCAGAAAGCCTGTTCAGAACAACCCTCACCCATCTGGCCTTCCCCAATTAAAGCCAAAGCAATTCTCTTACTCACTCTTACAGAGTTCAGAGGCTCTGTTCCACAAGGTCTTGCAGGGCACCAGGATCCTCACCACAGGGCTGTTCTGTGATGTACAAGGTTCACCTGTGGCCATTTCCCAGCTATAGGGAAGGGGCCAGAGGAGGAGAGGACAGTGGCTACTACCCACCAGTGCAGAGGACATAGTGTCTGCTTCCTTAGATGCCTCTGTGGTCTAAGTCGCATGTTCAGACCCAGCTTCAAAGGAGGTGGATGGGTGCCCTCCCTGGCCACGAAACTCCTTGGTCTGCTGTGCATCACTGTGGTGTGTTCCCAAAGCTTCACAGCTCTGTGAAGTGAAGAGCTCCTTAACTCTTGGTTATACAGGCTCAAGGAGCCACATGATCCTACTGGAGGAGTCC